CGAACACACACACACACACACAATCGCCGACCGCTCTCCTTCTTGAGATGCACTCTGCCCTCTTCCTGCCTTGACCCCCCTATCCTCTCCCGTTCCCTCCCACCAGCGCTAGTGATGCTGCTCATCGTGTCTTGTTTTTCTGATCTCCCCTCACGTCATCCGCCTCAGGCCTCCTCCCCTCCTTTAATCCTGCCCCTGCCTACCCATCTTCCCCCCTGCCGACCTCCAGGAGGAGGGAGGTCGAGAAGGAGGAAAAAAAGAGGGGGAGACAAGCAAGGTGCGCTCGAGCCATGTCTGACATCCTGCCTATCCCGCCCATCCCTCTCCACTCCGCTGAAATGCGCTGGCCCAACGGGCCAAAGGCGTGCAGAATCTCCTGTAAGAGGTTCGGGATATTTCTACTTCGCGCGCGCGCGAGGCGGCCCTGGGGGTCCCCAGACGAAAAGTACCCCGGCAAGGTCACCGGAAAGCACCCCAGCAAGGACCCCGGCGGAACTGGGTCACGGATGCCGGAACTCTCAGTGATCCCAGAGCGCCACAGGAGCGACCCCACGGCGTCAAGCCAAGAGCGCATCAATGCAGAGGCGCCCAAGACGGCCCGGGAGGGCTCTAAGAGGACCCGGGCCCCAAGAGGGCCCCGAGAGGCAAGATCCATGGATGTTGCCAAGGCGTTTGAAAGATTTGGGCGTCAGCACCTTTTCGGACTCCCGACCGCCCAGGACAGCCAATGAGGTCGCCAAAGTCGCCCCAAGTCAGGCCAAGACTAGGCGGCGCGCCCAGGGGGGAAGTGAGAAGGGGCAGGCTTTCCCAGAAGGCTCGGAAGTTTCCCGGCCTTCTGAGAAGTTTTCTAAGCCTCCCCCGAAGACACAGCAGACCTCTCAGAGGGCGCGAGGGCTTCTGAGAAGTCCCGCCGCCTTCTGAGAAGGCCTCCTCCTTCTCACTCCCCCCCCTCGCTGGAAGCCGAAAGACGCCCCGAGACAGCCCCAAGACGTCCAAAGAGGGCCCCAGGACGGGCCGAGAGGCCTCTCAGTCGGGCTCCCGGCCTCAGGATGCGCCGAGCGAAAGGCAGGCCCAACGACTTCCGGCCAAGAGCGCGCCACGGTGACCAAAAAAAATGACCTCAGGACGGTCCCGCCGGGGGCGCCCAGGGAGGCCCCCGAGGGCTCCAGGGGGATCCCGAGATGGCCCCGTGAGGCCCCACGAGGCTCCAAAAGTGCCCCTGCGAGCATGCAGGCCAGCGCCAACGAGGACACCACGAGTCCCGGCTCGGGGGCCCAAGACGGCCCAAAAGGGCCTTCAGGGGGGTCGAAGAGGAGCCCAGAAAAGGGGTACGAACAGCCATTTCGAGCCCTCTGCCCCGAGCTCACGCAACACTTCGAGAAACGTACCACCGTCCGAACACGCGGACAAACATCCGCGAAGGAATAGTCTAGGCCAGCGGAATGAGCGAAGCGAAAAACAAACGCACATCTGCCGACTAGGGTGTCATAGATGACATTGGTCCCCAAAGTGTCTCCAGTGCGTGATGCGGAATGAGAAAGGGGGGAAGTATACACTGGCGGGGGGGAGGGAGAGGAGGAGGAGGAGGAGGAGGAGGAGGAGGAGGAGGAGGAGGAGGCGGCGGAATGAGCAGGAGGAAGAGGAGCAGGAGGAGAATGAGCAGCAGCGGCAGGAGAAGGGGGAGTGATTAGGAGGAGCAGGAGGAGCAGGAGGGGCAGGAGGAGCAGGAGCAGGGGACTGCGGAGGATGGGAAACGAGGCGGACGGCAACAGATCCAGAGATGTGACTGGCGCTGCGGCAAAAGCACCTGTCTGAAAGACGGGAGAGAGGACGAAGGAAAGGAAGAAAGTAATCCTTGTCCCTTCCCGCCACCCCCCCCCCTCCCCACTGTCCCCTCCGCCCCCGCCGAGCCCCCTCCTCTTCCCACGCCCATCTCTGGCCCCGACCCTGCGTCGGCCCTCCCGTAACCAGCAGCGGGAGCGGGGGGTGTAAAGGCGAGGCCCCCCTCTTGCGAGCGCGTCGCCACCTCTCATCGCTCTTCGCCCCCGCGTCGCGCACGGCCTGCAGGAGGTAAGGGGCAGAGTGAGGCAGACCCCCTCCTCCCTCCCTCCCCAGGATTCTTCTCACTGGACGCCAACGTCCTCCCCCCCCCCTCGCAAGGCCGGGGCAGATGGGGTGTGAGGACAGCGTCGCGTCGCCGATGCGCCAGCGACGCACCAGCGGCGTCGAGGTGGAGACGATCGGGCTGCGGACCACGCCGCATCGCGCCAGGGCGAACCCAACCGTGGACCGTGGCGACGGAGGCACTCTGGGAAGAGGCCGCGGCGTTGGTCTCCTGTCCTCCTCCGACGCATGCTACAGACCCGTGGTAACGATGGAACAAGCTGTTTCGGGGATGCACAGACCCCCTTTGGTAAAACGTGGTTTAGTGAAAACGACCTGAGGCCCAAACCTGGCGGGCGCAAGCCTGGAAAATAACGGCCACGGCGCCCTCTCGAGAATCGAAAACGGACAATTCACAAATCGACGTGTCACTGTTGGGGGTTCTGTCCATCCCCGACTGTTGGAGAGAACTGATGGGAGGCCTGCGCAAGAACGATGATGGCTATCGAGCCCGATGGTGGAGCCAGCGAATCGAGTGAGCCCGAATGGCGCCCACGCTGAAGCCCGAACAAATGCGATTCAACGGAATTGGAGAGGAGTGTGCTGGATTGGGCTGGTCTCTGACGACGGATATACCAGCGCCGATGCCGAACACTCCCCCCAGGAGTGGTCCCCCGTGAACACATGATTGGGCAGGGAGGGGACCTTAGATCGCCGGCGTGTCGAGCGCCACGGCCCTTTCCGGAGCGCTCTGGAACGCTGTGAGAGCGTTCCGAAACGCTCTGGAGCGACCTATGCTCATCCCAGGCAAGACTCGCTGATGTTCGAGGCCTCGATCTTCAAACCTCGAACCTCGGGGCGGGCGCGGCGCCACCTCTCCGCCCGGCCGGGGTTGCCCGCACGGGCGCAGGCGTCGATGACGGCGTTGTAGCTCATGGCGTCGGACTCGACGCCTGGCAAGAATGGTGTCATGATGCGGTTGGCTCACGATACGTTCCAGGCTGTGCTGCGTGCGCAGCGGCCTTCGTCTCCCTGGAGTCCGCGCGGGGCACCAACGAATCCCGAATATCCTGGAACGCATCATTATCGTGACTCCGCTCTCCTCTTCCTCTGAAGTGTGGATGCCATGACGCTGGACACTTTAACAGCAATACCATTATGTTATTGATAACTTCCGATGTTACAAACAAGTTGCAAACGTCAGGCCTAGATATGTTGGAAAACATGCAAAACAAATGCGTCATCGAATGCGTTTAGCGATCCGCGCGCTTGGGCTGCCCATCTTGGAGGGTCTTACGGGGGAGTCCAATGGGGGAGTCCTATACGGGAATCATATCGAGGAGCCCTGTGGGGGGATCCTGTAAGGGAGGTCCTGCGGGGGCGTCGCATGGGAGAGTCCAACACGGGAGTCCGACGGGGAAGTCCAGCTCCACTGGGGGGAGTCCAGCGGAGCAATCCTGCGTGGGGGACTCGTACGAGGCGGAATCGTTTTTGGGGGAGTGCCATGGGGGCGTCCTCTGCGGGAGCCCCAGTCCCATGGTGGAGTCCTGTGGGGGAGGAGGAGGGGGAGGGGGAGGAGGAGGAGGAGGAGGAGGAGGAGGAGGAGGAGGAGGAGGAGGAGGAGGAGGAGGAGGAGGAGGAGAGGAGGAGGAGGAGGGAAGAGGAGGAGGAGAGGAGGAAGATAGTCCTGTGGGGGGGGGCCCTGGGGAAGTCCAGTGGGGAAGTCCTATAAGCCGTTGTGGCGCCCCCCCCCCCGGCGGAAGCGCGTTCCCGCGGAGCGGCCCCCAGAGGGGAAAAACGCCCCGCGGGGGCCGCCCCCACGACGAGGCCCAGCGCGCCCCCCCCCCCCCCCCCCCCACACCGTCGGCACGCCGTCCAGAGGTTGAAGGGTGAAAATGGGGGTCGGGCGCAGGGTCCCAGCACTGGTGTTTTCATGGGCCATGCAGGGGCGATACATCCTCGATTGCTGTGTTCGGCGGGGGAACCAATTGAAGCTCCCCGCCTGCAGACATGCGCGAGACTTGAGGGTAAGCGAAGCAGGGGGGCGGGGGGCTCGGGAAATGCAACGAAGGCAACGTGCGCTGAGGGCGCAAAACAGGTGTGTGAATGAACGAAAGCGGTGACGTGAGTGTCCAAAACTGCACTGCCAATCTGATATGCGGAACACTGCGCTTCAGTGTTGGGAATCTTGAAGGCCAGGGCAAAATGAAAATTCACATCGTGGGGAAAAGCAACATTTGAATTCACACGTTGGGAAAAGAAAAATGTGAATTCACAGCTTCGAAAACAAACGGAAAATGTGAGTTCACATGTCGGAATTCTGTGTAAGAGCATGTAGGAAGGGACCAGAATGTGAATGGGAAACAAGGAAATGTGAATTCACATTTTGGAAAAACGTACATGTAAATTCACATGTTAGGAGAATCGCGGGACCCATTCCAAATCTGTCTTGGGGGTCGACAAGTCATCTTTTGGGAACATACGCGATCATCAATCGCACAATCAAGACACACTTGCACTCCACTTCGCCGCCCCACGCGCAGTGTGCAAGGACGCCCGCACGCATGCACGATATTGGATGGACGGCGCGTTTGCCCGCGCGGGCAACGCGCGGGCACGAACGACTGGCCCCCCATGCCCGCCAACATTGGATGCCAATCATACCCGATCACAGACATGAGCGCTACATTGAGCATACGTGGGCCATTCAGCCCCCATTGATCGGGAGCATGGGGGTGTCCAAGAGGGGGGGTGCAAATCATGACCGGCGGCACGTGCGCGGCCCAGCGGGGGGGCCAGGGACGTAATGAAATGAGAAGAGGCGCCATGAAATCTGGGGAAATATCATGGCCCACGCCATGATATCCACCCCCCCCAGCTCATCACCCCCCTCTTTTTCCGCCCCCGAATTGAAGACCCCCTGTTGCAGACCCCCTCTTTCACCGGGAGGGGGGGGCTGTCCAGGGCTTACACACAAATGAAAGGATTTCCCGTATTTTCCCATATTTGTTGTGTTTTTGTCTTCCCCCCCACTTCCCATATTTTCCCGTATTTTCTAGGGAATCGACGATGAATTGTGTCTGTGTGTTTTTGTTCCCTCCTGACTGTTGCAGCCCCCTCTTTCACCGGGAGGGGGGGCCTGTCCAGGGCGCGCTCCCCCCCGCGCGCGGCCGGCCAGGCCTGGGCCACCCTGCCTCCGCTCCGCTCCGCGCGGCCGAGGTCCATCGGCAAGGCGTGGGCCACGGTCGGGGGCGCGCACAGCTGAAGGGGCCCCAGGACACACAAATAAATACACACAAATAAAAATATGCCCCATATTTGTTCCATATGTTCTGGGTATTTGTCCTCCCGCCCAATTCCCGTATTTTCCAATATTTCTGTGGGAATCGACGATGAATTGTGTCTGTGTGTTTTTTCCCCTCCTGAAAAGGATGGATTAGCGATCCCTGGATTTGGCGCGCGGTCGCCACGTCCATGGATTGGGGGAGGTGCCCTCCCCGACATGCGGCCGGTGCCGCCTCGCTCGGCGGCGGAACTCTGCGATTGCCCCAATTGAAACAAGGCCCGTCGCGAATCCACGCCCCCTTGATCCTGAGAGGTCCATCGGCAAGCATGTCTCTCTGCCCCTCGCCCGATCGCCGCGCCCTTTCGCAGGAGACCGCGCGAGCGCAGGTGGCGCACAGCGAGCTGGTGCTGCTCAACAAGTGCGACCTGCTGGGCGGCGCCGGGTCCGCCGCCGCGGCGGCGGCTGAGGCCCGGGCGGGGCTGCGACGGGGATGCCTCGTCCCAGAGCGTTCGGAAACGCTTGCCGAGCGCTGCGGAGCGCTCTGAAAAGGCTGCGGAGCCCCAATCTCTGGATCCATGTTTGCGATCGCCTGAGAGGTCCATCGGCAAGACGTGGGCCACGGGGCCCTCCTGGCCTCGCAGGACTCATGGCCGGCCGCCTGGCGCGGCGGCCGCCCCTCGCCCGGTACAGTGGAAGGTGCAAGCTCACCGCGCAGAGCAGTTCCGCGCCACCAAGGCGGATTCTCGGGTCGGGCGAAAGGGGGGGATAGCAAAGGGGGGGTTTGAGAATCAGCTCACGTAGCTGATTTTCCTGGCGCCTCCCGGCGCCGGAGGCGGCTATGTATCGAGGAGTGGGCCCCTCGGTGAGGCCGACACCAGCTGCATGCCGCAAATTTCGGACCCCCCCCTTTCCCAATGCCCCCCTTTCGTCCGGCCCGAAATTCGCAACAACGAACAATTCATCGTATACGACATGCATGTCGGCAGTGGGCATGATATTGTGAACAGGTTTGTACACTCAGACATACATGTTGAAAATGCTCAGATAAGGAAGGGCCTCTGGAAATGAGTTGGTGACACGCCTCCTCTCCATTGATCGTCTTCCCCAAACTCTGACTAGCCGCTTTCCTCGAATGGGAGCAAGGGTGGGGGGTTCGACCGTCCAAGACACCCGTCGCGGCCAGACTCGATCAGCCAGCACCTAGACCGTCGACCCTGGCGAGAACGAGGGGCGACGGCGAGCGACCACGACAAGGACGAGGACGAGGACGAGGACGAGGACGACGACGACGACGGTGTCGGCCCGAAATCCCGAGAGCATCGACTGGACGCAGAAGTGCCTGCCGCAATGTCGACCTAGGGCTCCACTGATGCGTCGACATTGCGCCAACGTCCGCCAACCCGAGCGGAATCGGACTGGAGCCGACCAGACCCGTCAGGTCGGCCCTCGGAAGACACCCCCAAAAGGAACACCCGATCGAGGAGTCTGGAATTTGGAGTCCCGAAACGGTGCGGTGACAGACCGTGCGGCGAATTCGAAATCCCCCGGGACCTCACCGCACGGTCCGTCACCGCACGGTTTTGGGACCCTGGAGGCCCCTGTCGCCCGAGACGTCCTCGGAGAACGACCCGAGTCCCAAAACCGTGCGGTGAGCCCGAATCCCCACCGACTCACCGCACGGTGTGGTCACCACCCCGTTTAGGGGCCCCCGATGGAAGCTCTCACACCACCACAGCGCGGCCGGAGCCACACAAAGGGTGCCCAGCACTGCGCGAGCTCCAGCGCCCGCGGGCGCACGCTGGGAGGCCCTGCCGCCGCAGCCTGGCCCGCCCCACGTTTTTCGTGGCAGGAGATGGGTGCGGACAGCGATAACATAAGACTCAAATTCGTCGCGAGGCTGTCCTGCGAACGCGGCCGAAACTCCGGCCAGGGATTCGGGCAAAAATGGGCTCGGGACACGCCACGATTACGTTGCTGCTTGCTTACTGTCGGCACCGGCTGGGATGGACAAACCCTGCGTCCCCTGGACAACTGCCTCACCCTGGCCCACCTCATTTTGCCGACGGTGCCCCATGTGCCTCCGCTGGCGGCAGAAGACCGTCAACAGCTTTCCACAGCTCGCGAAGGGGGGGGGGCTAATTACGCTGGGGGGGCACGAGGAGCCACCGATCTCTGAGACCCAGGCTCCATTGCTTAGCGTCGGATGAATTCGATCGAATCCTAACAAACGAACTGTTCTGAGCTGGGGAAGAGCCGACATGAACAGAAGCTTTCGAAAATCCGCGCGGATTTCGTGGGTTGGCGCTGGACACCCACCTCACACGGGGGAGGGGGGTCCAGCGCAGGTCCCGAAAATCTGCGAGGACCTTTGATACGGTTCGACTCAAAACTATTCGTGTTCATTTTTCGCTCCGGGGCCCAACACCGCGTGGTGAATGACAGCGTGGTGACCCCGGAATCCCACGACCTCACCTCGAGCTCCGTCACCGCACGGTTTTCCGACCTCGGAAGCCCAGGTCGCCCGAGACGTCCCCAGAGAACGACGCGGATCCCAAAGTCGTGCGGCGACCCCCAATCCCCGCTGACTCGCCGCGCGGCGTGGTCACCACCACGTCTGGGGACTCCCCCGGTGCCGATCGCGCGCCAACACGGGCAGCGATGCCCCCCACATGAGGCGCCTGCACGGGGCCACGCAGAGCTCGCGGCACAGGGGCACACAAACCTCGCGCACTCCTCGCATCGGCGCTGGACCCCCCCCCTCCCTGGTAGGGGGCGGCATAGAGGGGGGCGTCAAAGAGGGGGGGTGCAAATCATGACGGGCGGCATGTGCGCGGCCAAGCGGGGGGGGCCAGGGACGTAATGAAATAAGAAGAGGCGCCATGAAATCTGGGGAAAAATCATGGCCCCCGCCATGATATCCACCCCCCCCAGCCATCACCCTCCTCTTTTCCGCCCCCGACCTGGCGCGCGGAGCGCGCCAGGGCCGGAACCAGAGGCGCCGCCACGGGGGTGGCCCACCGCCGATCCGAGGAAGCCGCGCGGACCTCCGACACGGCAGGTTTTTACAGTTGGGGCCCGACCACAAGAAGCCTTCGACAAGAAGCCCAACACTGGGACCCCAGGACGTCCATGGATTTCTGGTGTGGGGGCGTCACGCTTTCCGTAGCCAAACAAACCATCGAACCCCAAGAAGCCCAGGGCACCCTGGAGGCAAGCTGGGTGTTTCTTGGCACGGGTCTCCACTGCATGTCAGCATCAGTTCCCCGAGGAGCGCCATTCATGATGATACAGAAAGGCACCGATACCGCTACCCCCCCGGACCTCTCCCGGGGTGCGCTCTGACCAGAATTTCGAGGCGAATCCAGCGGTGGCGACGAGGGCCCCCCCGGTGGGCCAAAAAGAGGAAAACGGGCGAGGGGGTTGAGGTATGGGTTACGGGTACTCCAGATTTCGTAATAAAAGGGAGGGGGTCTGGACCCTCCAAGACAAGCCATTTCAGACCTCCCCCGTGGGAGAACCCTCCAAAACATCGTCCCCAGACCCCCCAGGCCCTCCAAGATAGCCTGGAAGAGACCCCCCCGAAATGAGACCCCCCTCCCTTTCTTACGAAATCTGGAGTACCTTTTCCTCCTCTGAATTCACGCCGGTGGCGCAGGGCCGGTGCACGCCAGCAGCGAAGGCGTGTGGACCGCACAGCGGGCGCCCGCCGGGCTCCGCACGCCGCCGGCGGGCGGCGGGTGCCCACCGGCGGCGGTGCAGCACGCGCGCGCGCCGCACGGGCGCGCGCGCGCGCGGGCGCGCGGTGGCCCTGCCGAAGGGCCCGCTCGCGGGCGCTCGCTCGCGGGCGCTCGGGGCACGGCAGAGAGTACGGCACGCAGCGGAAGGAGCCTGATCAGGCCTGCGCAGGGAGGGGTGGTCGAGGAGGGTAACTCATGGGGGGGGAGGAGGGCGAGGACGAGGAGGAGAGGAGCGCAGGAGGGCGAGGGGGCGAGGAGGCGAGGCCGAGGGCGAGGAGACGAGGACGAGGAAACGGGCGAGGGCGAGGGCGAGCAGAACCCACGCCAGGGCGAGGATGAGGGCGAGTCGGATACAGACCTCCGGCGTCGCAGGATCAACAAGCAGCGCCTCGGGGAACCAGGCGCGCGACGGACTGCGCGACGGATCTCCCAAAGACGATCCCTCGGAGACGCAACAGGGCAAGACATTGGCCACGAAGCTGCCCGGGGTGCCCGGGCAACTTCGTGCAAGGAGTCCGCAACATCTGCAGCACGGCGGCATGCGAACCGTCGACACTGCCGACCATCAGTATGAAAAGTGTTGTTCCCTCGCCGCGGAAAAAACACAGGGCGGCTCCCCAGCAGCAGCCGACAAGCACGGGCGGCCGGGAGAACGACGCAGGGGCGCGAAAGTGCCCGCGAGGAAACGCGCGCACGAGATTGCCCGCACGAAATTGCCCGCGCGAAATGGCCCGAGAGCTGCCGCCGAGAATGGCCGCACGAGAAGCCCTCAAGATTGATTCCCTGGACTCGCTTGCGAGAGCCAGGCGGCGCTTGCGAGAGCCCACGAAAACCAGAAACCGCCTGAGACATTCGCGCAACGATTTCGCGCGGACAATTTCGCGCAGCAATTCGTGACGCATTTCGTGCTGGAGATCTGGCAGCAATTCGTGCCTCATTCCGTGTTCGTGCCGAGAAGAATTCGCGATCGTGCGGGAATAATTTCGCGCTTGTGCGGAAAAAGTCCGTGTTGTTGCCTGAATGATTTCGCGCTCGCGCGACCACAGTTCTGTGCTCGCGCAAGAAAGAAGTCGTGTTCGGGCAGCATTCGCGTTGCATGTTGCACTGCACCTATGCTGTTCACTGCCAGGGGCTACATCAAACATGTCACGCTACGCGGAGGCATGACGAAGCACGGCGGCCAACCACCAGGAGATCAAGGTAAAACAATGCGCAGCAAGCGGAGCCCTCCGCGTGCGGCAGCGCCACCTACGCACTCAAAGCAACTACCTGTTTCATAGGGGGCAAACAAACCTACCTCGCTTTTGACCACCCTCGCTTCCAAGAGATACCAAGCGATGCCAAACTACGGCATGTACTGGTCAGGCCGCGTGACGAGGAGGCGCGTGGTATGACTTGGTTTTGCCTGGAAGCGAAAACGGGGTAGGTAATTCACGCTCTGACATGAACTTGTGGGGATCCGCACGCATTTCTCGGATCGGCGCTGGACCCCCGTCCCTGGCCAGCGCCGATCCCGCAAGCCCGCGCGGGCCTCCGAAGGTGCATGTTCCTGCCATCAGTTGTTCCTCGGACAGCAGCGCCATGTCCAGCATCGGGCCGCATCGGATCGTCGGAATCGGATCGGATCGAGCTGGAGAGGTCGAAGTGGACCCTGCCTCGTGTGATATCTGTCAACGCGTGCGCACCACAGCTACCGACCCAGAATCCGTGTGACCCCATGGTCGTCGTCGGATGGCCTCGGGGCCCCAGAAACGAACCCGAAGGCGCGGGTTGTGGGACAACGCCGGGGTCAAAGCAGTCACGACGTCGGGGATGCGCTCAGAAGCGCACGCGCCAGGGGCGGGGAGAGGAGAGTGCGGCAGGTTCGGGTCGTGACGTTTTCGGCGTTGGTTTCTGATACCGCGTTGATGTCTCAACCTGGAATGAGCGGCGGCTTCTCGATCGCCAGATAGCTCCATACTGGACGATTCTGGGCCACTGGTGGCGTTCAACCTTGAAAGCCCGCGCTGGGTCGTCGCCGCGTCGGCGTCACACGAACCTATCATAGGATGGGGTTGATGCAGTTGGCGAATACGGAGACGCGCTCAGGAGCGCAAGCGCCATGGGGGGAGGAGGGTAAGGTAAGGTGGATTGAAGGGGCCCTGGGACACACAAATAAATACACACACAAATAAAATGGTTCCCCATATTTTCCCAAATTTTCTAGGTGTGTTTGTCTTCCCGCCCAATTCCCATATTTTCCCATCTTTTCTGGGGGATCGACGATGAATTGTGTCTGTCTGTGTGTTCTTTCCCCTCCTGAAGGATGAGGTCCACGGAGGTCGGGCCGCCACGGAGGCCGCCGGTCTCTGCACAGCCCACGGGCCAGCGCTGGCACACGCACGGACCATAGCCCGTGGACAAGAAACAAGTGCGTCCCACCATCGCCAGAGGAGAGGACCGACCAGCCATACATCGGCGCTACGAAAGTTTTGACCCGTTTTGTGTTTTCGGCTAAAAAAACGTCTGAGCACCACATTGGTTATGAACACCACGAAGAAGTCCTGGGCGGGAGCGCCATTTCGAAATCGAGGCAGAAAGGTTTCGACTTCTATGTTTGAGGAAGTCCTGTGCGGGAGCGCCATTTCGAAATCGAAGCAGAAAGGTTTCGAATTCTATGTTTGCGGAAGTCCTAGGCGGGAGTGCCATTTCGAAATCGACCCCGAAAAAGTCGAAATCGTTCGAAACCGTTTTTTTCGAGGACGTATCAAGCGACACCGCCGTTTCGAAATGGCCACACCGTTTGGCATTTAAAATTGTAGAAGCCCTGACCCGAAAACTGGAAAATGCAGCTTTCGCTCAGGACTTCCTCCCCAAAACGAGCTCGACTGGATTTCGAAACCCTCCGGCTGGATTTCGAAATGTGGTTTTCGCCTAGGACTTCCTCCCCAAAACAAGCCCGACTGCATTTCGAAACCCGCGGGCTCGATTTCGAAAGGGCGGTGCCGCCCGAGACTGGAGCGAAAAATGCTTCAACCGAACATTGTACTGGGGCCCCGCGGCCTAACGGGCCCACTGCCAACGTTGTACTGGGGCCCCGTCGCCTAACGGGAGGAGGCGTTGAATTCTGGCCGAACTGTCGTAGCGGCGAAGTAACCAAGGGAGCTGTGGTCCTTAACCCCATGGGGGAACCCATCGCCTCGACGATCTCTCGAGAGGGGCGTCGACATCGATGGGTCCCCCAGGGGGGTAAGGACCACAGCCCCCCCAGCTGTGGCTGGCCTGGAGGAGGAAAGCTGCCGAGGACGTGGAGGTCCCCCAGCGGTCTCCGGAGAAGGCTCCCGACGAGGCGCGCTGAGGCCCAGGGTGCCTCACCCGGGAGCATGCGAGAGACACCTCGGCCCTCGACCCTCGACCACGAGACCCTCGATCTGCGATGCTCGGCCCTCCACCGTCGACCCTCGATTCGGGATCCACCAAGGGGGGGGGGGACCCCGAGGGGGGGGGCATGAGTTCGATCCGTTGGTGCACCGGACTGCTGCAAACAGATGCCCCCCGCATGCCCCACCTCTCGGCAACTATCGGGTGCGGCCGGCGGCTGGGGGGCGCCTGGTTTGGTGCAAAAACCGACCGAACTCTCTCTTTTTGTTTCTCTCTTTCTTTTTTATTTTTTTTCTCTCTCTCTCTCTGTTTCTCTCTCTCTCTCTCTCTCTTTCTCTCCCTCTCTCTCTCTCTCTCTCTCTCTCTCTCACACAACCACACACATCTCTCACAACCACACACATCCGGGGCACACACCACCCTTTGCGGGATCCCGATCTGGGGGTGGGGGCTCGACCCCCATGCGCGGCCGGGGGCGCCTAGCTTCGGCATCCTGAGCAGCCACTGCTCGGCGCGCTGGTAGTCGCCCACCTGCGTTCTGGGGAGTGGCGGCTCCTCCTTCTTCTCCTCCTCCTCCTCCTCCTCCTCCTCCTCCTCCTCCAACTCCTCCTCCTCCTCCTCCTCCTCCTCCTCCTCCTCCTCCTCCATCTCCTCCTAGCTCCTGCTCATCGTCATCTGCCTCTTCATGGCCGTCCTCATCCCAACAGTCGTCGTCTTCGCCCTTCCCATCCTCGTCCTCCTAAGCCCTCCTCCTCCTCGTGTAGTCGGCCTCGTCGTCATCTCTTCGTCACGCTCCTCCTCCTCCTGCTTTTATCCAACACGAGGTGAAGCTCCCCCGAGGGGAACGAAAACGGGTCTTGGACACCGAGGCATCCCCCGTGACAAGTCTTCATCTGGGAGGGGATCGCAACACACACCGAGCCGTCCGGCCAGCCAACAGGCTCGGTGCGTAGACGCCTCATCTTGCTTACCTGTGGGAGGCTGGAGCGCCTAAGCACCGAATTTCTGCGCCGAGCTCACTGGCTCGTTGGCCGACCAGACGACGTGGTGCATCACTTGGTGCATACATCGATGAGGAGCCAGTGGGACGGAAGGTCAGGGGAGGACTGGCCCAGTGGGGAATCATCAGTGTGGGATCTGTGGCACGTCTCCGACGGGTCGGCGATGGGCTCCCGACAGCAAAGCCGGACGTTCCTGGACGCCCCTTTCTATCGGGCCCCCATCGGCGATGAATGCGTGATAGGGGGCCGATGCGTCCCCGCGTAAGCATGTCCCCCCTCCACGGTCGAGGACCTCTGCTGAGCGTGTCGCGGCGGCGGCGCCGGCGACACGCTGCGCAGTGCAAGCTGATAGCGTATCGCTCCGCTCCGCGGGCAGGAGGCCGGGAAGAGCTCGGGACGGTGAGGCCCTGGAACTGGAAAGCGGCTAGGGTGTCGCGCCGAAGCGCAGTGGGCCCAACAACCGGCGGCGCGACATGCTAAGCAAATGTTGCCGACCGCAACGTTCCCACTGAATCGCGACCCTGTGATCCTCGGACGGGACGGGAGGGGCTTGGTAGAGGGGGGGTTAGCGCATCAACTCACGTAACTGATTTCCCTGGCGCCTCCCAGCGCTGGTAGGCACCACTGCATCAATGAAAGCGCCCGGCGGCGACGACCGAAACCAGCTGCACGCAACAAATATCGTACACCCCATTCTACTGGATAGTCAAAACACTACCAACACTGCTACTGCCCGGACCTCTCCTGGGGGGGTGCATTCTGGCCAAAGAGGTCGAGGCGAACCCAGCCGTGGCAACGGGGGAAGCGTAGCGATATTGGTATTTCCTCGTCTTCTGACCACCACCACCCCTTCCAAACGACCCGAGAAAACCCTGAGCCGCTCTCAGACCCCCTCCCTCCCTGGCCCAGGCGCGCCTGGACCCGCCCGTTAGGGTCCGCCCGCTCGACCCACCCGTGGGGCTGTCGGCGCCGTCGTCGGCGGCGTCGTCGTCGTCGTCAAAGTCGCGGTCGCCGCACTCGTCGTCGTCGTCGTCGTCGTCGTCGTCGTCGTCGTCGTCGTCGTCGTCGTCGCCACACTCGTCGTCGCCCTCCTCGTTGTCCTCGTCGCCGTCGCCGTCGCCGTCGCCTTCGCTGTCGTCGTCGCTTTCAGAGGCCCCCGGACCGGGCGCACCTCGGCCCGCTCGGGGCAGGCGGCGCGCCAGCAACGGCGGCGGCCTCGAGAAGCTCCGAAGGGCCCCAGGGCCGCCGCCGCGAGCCCCATCAAGAGGCCTCGTTCTTTGCCTCGTCCTCCTCCTCCTCCTCCTCCTCTTCCTCCTCCTACACGCACTCCTCCTCTTCCACCTCCTTCTCCTCCTCCTCCACCTCCTCCTCCTCCTACTCGTCCTCCCCCTCCTCCTACTCCTCCTCCTCCTCCTCCTGATCATCATCATCATCATCATCATCATCATCATCATCATCATCATCATCATCATCATCAGCAGCAGCAGCAGCAGCATCATCATCATCATCATCATCAGCAGCAGCAGCCGCTTCAGCATCTGCATCAGCATCATCATCAGCATCATCAGCATCATCAGCATCATCAGCATCATCATCATCAGCATCATAATCATCATCATCATCATCAGCATCATCATCAGCAGCATCATCAGCATCAACATCAGCATCATCATCATCATCATCAGCAGCAGCATCACCAATATTAACAGCAGACAGCATCATCATCATCAGCAGCAGCATCAGCAGCAGCAGCAGCAACAGTCACATCATCACCATCATCATCATAATCCACATCATCGGGAGCAGCATGACAACACTCATCATGCCCATCCTCATCATCAGCATCATCATCATCAGCATCAGCGTCAGCATCATCATCAGCAGCATCATCATCAGCACCATCATCATCGTCATCAGCATAATAATCCGCATATAATCATCGTCATAATCAGAATCACCGTGAGCCTCATAACCAACATAATCACCATCACCAACGTCATCATCGTCGACAGCATCATCATCATCATCATCATCATCATCATCAGCAGCAGCAGCAGCAGCAGTATATTCACCATCAGCAGCAGCACGTGTTCCATCATCACCTCACTAGAAGCACCAGTAGCGTAAGCATCATCAGCATCAATTGTATCGCCATCGTCATCCGCATCATCCTCTTGCACATCATCCCAATCGGTATCATCCCATCATCAACAGCAACCATATCAGGCGCATGACCACCATCAGCATCCTCCGAATCCTCATCATCATCAGCCACAGCAGCATACGCATCGCAATCAGCATGATCATCCTCGTTCTCATCATCGTCAGCATCATCATCAGCATCATCAACATCAGAATCATCATCATCATTGTCATCGTCTTCATCGTCATCACCATTACAATTATCATCAACAGCATCACCACAACCATCATCAGAACCATCGTCATGATACTCATGATCGTCGTATTCGCCACCACCAGCATCGGCACAATCATCGTCGTCATACCATGGTCATACTATTCATCATCAGTAGCAGTATGATCATCATCATCATCATCATCAGCAGCATCACCTTTACCAGCAACATCAACATCGTCATCCTCCCATGAGTGACACCAGGATCGTCTCCCTCATCAAGATCAGCATCATCACATTCATCAGCATCATCATCATACACATCATCATCACAACCATGATCGTCATCCGCATCGTCGTCGGCGACGTCGACGTCGTCGTCGACGCCGTCGTCATCGTCATCATCATCATCTTCGTCGCAGTCAGCATCATCAACGCCATCATCATCCATATCATCGTCCTCGTCATCATCATTATCAGGCGTGTCGTCGTCATCATCAGCATCATAATCCTCATCGTATCATCATCAACACCATCAGTTCCTCGTCTCATCGTCGTCGTGATCCTTCTCCTTCCTCTCAACCTTATCCTCTGGCTCATCTTCCTCCAATGGGGAACGGAAGATCACATAGGACGCGTCGCTGGCCACGGGTCGGAAAAAGGGGGAGAGAGAAAGAGAGTGACTTGGCGGGACACATAGTGCTACGAGCGAAAATTCCTGCTCGAACGGCGCCTGCAGTGGTAGCGGTCGTCATTCTAGAACGAACAGTCCCCGTCACTAGCACTTCTGTCGCTGTCACGTCTAGCACTGTCAAAACCATCAGAAAGATGGACAGCGAGGGCAAAACAAATGGAACGCGAGAAGTCAGGGGTATACCGGTTCACCTGGATCGAATGAGCAGAAGCCATTACCTGGATGCCCGAAACCGACGGATGCAACGGCACCTCGCTTCGAAAGCTCATCATCCAGCCCAAAGCTCGAGTGCACTGCATTCTGGCAGAAGCCAGCGCGGGGGCAGGACCTTCGCGTGAGCGCTGATCGTGATGTTGACGCAGATGGTGTTGGGCTTCGCGACGCCCTCGATGGGTGCGCGGCGCCATCGGCCTCCTACCCCAACCCCTCTCTCGTCCCTATCTCCGTCCTCCCCAACGTACAGTGGAAACCCATGCCATAAGAAACACCCTGCTTGCCTCCAGGATGCCCTGGGTTTCTCGTGTCTCGATGGCTTTGCTATAGAAAGCTTGACGTTCCCAGACCAAAAATCAATGGACGTCCTGGGGTCTCAGGGTTGGGTTTCTTGTGGTAGCTTTCTTGTGGTCGAGCTTCTACTTTATGTTTTACCAGGGCCACTGTTTGACGGCCCTTGAGCCGAAACGGGCGTGCTTTGGAGGCCCGGGCTCTGTGAAGAGCAATCGTTTTTCGGCCGTGTCCGGTTTGTAATCAGGGCGCTGAAACAAGGACCACTCTTGGCTGAGGAGGGGATTTGGTTTTCTCGGGGGCGTGATTTGGGTCGGGAAACCTGTTCGGGTCTGAGGCTCACCAGGGCCAGAGACGCCCCGTCGTCCCGTCTTGGCATGGGTTTCCTCCGTACTCCCCTCGTGCTCCCCCTCGTGCCCATCCCTCCTCAACCAGGCTCCTCCGCCCCCCCCCCACACCGTATCTGCGTGCCACCTCGTCTCTGCCCCCCTCCCCCCCACCCCCTCCAGTCGGCCCTCCCCCGCGGCATCTCCTCGGTTCCCCAGGCCCTTGTCCCGCAGCGACATCGCGACGGGAACGCCGCGGCACGAGGAGGGGGAGACAGGGGATCCAGCAACGACCTCATTGATTAGCAATACACGGACCCCTAACCCATTGTGAGGGGACCTAAGTTAGGAGGGCCAGAAACATTAAAGATGAGGGGGTCTTTTCTGCAAATGCATCAGATCAAACCGCCCAGGTCTGGTATCCATAATGCAAAGACGCGGACCTCAGTGAGGCTACGTCTTCCTCGTGTTATTAGGGTTAGGGCTTCAGAAGACATGATCTAAACCAGCCCAGCTCCTCAATGATACTTGTTTGATCTTTCAGCGTACTTCGGATATTGGAATACCCAATGCCACATCACCCATCCCCAGCATGTCGCTCCCCCTGTTGCGACCCGTCCCAACAGAACGGCAGGAGCCGAGAACGAGGAGAGGCAACATTAAGGGGCAGAGGAGAAAGGAAGAGGAAGAAGAGGATGGAGAGGGCAGGAGGACAGGGAAGGAGGACGACACATTGGGGGAGAAGCTGTCCCAAAGGAATCCGACTGCGTTCTCATTCTCCGTCCACCTCTTCATCCTCCTCTTCCGTTCTTCTTCCTCCTCCTCCTCCTCCTGCTCTCGTCCACCTCCGCAACATCCTCCTCCTCCTCCTCCTCCTCCTCCTCCTCCTCCTCCTCCACCGCATCCTCTCCTCATCCTCATCCACCTCCTCCACCTCCTGCGTCATCCTCCGCACCTTCCCCATCCTCCTCTTCCTGTCCCCGCCATCACTCCTCCACAGACTCAATCCGCGTCTCTCCTCGCATCCACTGCTCCGTGTTTTCTGGTGCATCCCTCTTCTGATCATCCTGCATCCTCCTCCTCTGACATCCTATGTCTTCCTCCTCCTCCTCATCCTCCTCATACTCCTCACATTTCCTTCTCTTCATCATCGTCATTCCTTCTCTTCATATGCATCCTTCGTCCTCATCCGCCCCCTGCAATCCCTTTACATCCACATCATCATAATCATCAGCGGCATCTCTATGTGTGGTTATCCTTTCCTCTCTCCCTCCGTATATCCTCGAACATCGCACCCCAGAACTCTCCAGGGATGCGTAGTCATTCGAATGTCGATGAACTCCAACCATGGGCGACGGAGCCTATCAGATGCCCAAGCAACCTGCCAAAATGAACACCCTCCGCGCGACTGGTACTTACACAAACCGCCTCCGACTAAAGCGAACACCCCTCCGCCAGATGGGCATTTCCACACGCGGAGAACAAGATGCCCGAAGGGCGTTCAACAAACACATCACGCCGAATGGTTAACCTCATAATCGTCCGCCTGCCATGTTTCTCGGACAGCAAGCATCAGACCATAGTGTTCTATGGAAAAGAAGGAAGGAGGAGGACAGAGAGATAGAGAGAGGACAACAAAAACACAACACGTAAAAAGCGAGAGGAAGGAAGACGGTGAGGGGGGTTCTGGTGAAGGAGGAGACAGAGGAGGGAAGCTGAGCGCTCGCGACATATCTGACATCCAACCCCTCCCTCCCATCCCTCGTTGCATTGATGTCTGTCTATCCGCGGACGGGCGTTACAACGGGTCTGGCTGGGAGCCCCCAAAGGATACCACCGCACTGTGCGCAGTCAGAAAAGGGAGAGCTGGAGGAGGAGGAGGAGGAGGAGGAGGAGGAGGTGGTGATGGACGAGCTGGAGAGGGAGGAGCAGGAGGCAGAGGAAGAGAAGGAGGAGGGAGGCCGACGAGGACGAGGAGGCACGGAGGCAGCAGGAGCAGGGAGCAGGAGGCGCGGAGGAGGAGCAGGAGGGCCAGGAGAGAGGCAGGAGGAGAGGCAGGAGGACAGGCAGGAGCAGAGTGGGCGGGCGGAGCAGGAAAGCCGAGGGGGGGGGGGGGGGGGGAGAAGCACGCGGAGCGGCACACGGACGAGGAGAGGCTCGGGCGTCGGGAGGAAGGGGGGCGGCGCTGGGGCGAGGGCGCTGCGCGGCAGGGGGGGAAACAACCGCTCCCAAAAGGAGGCCCGCGCTGCAGCGGGAGCACCATCCCGAGGCACCCAGAGCGATCCAGTCGAGAAGCAATACGAGAGACCAACTTTGGAAACCTGGCGTCAAAGACAATACGGGGAGAGGTACCTAATTAGCCTCCCACACATCCTTTTCCGATCGCGCTGATTTTTTTGTATCCGCCGACGCGTGTCTTGGCGGATCCCAAACTGCGAAAAAGACCCCATCGTGTTATGCACCATCGGGAGAAGGGCTGCGTACATTGGAGAAGGGGGTGGCGGAGGAGCCGGAGGAGGAGGAGGAGGAGGAGCAGGAGGGAAAGGAGGAGGAGGAAGGAGGAGGACAAGGACGAGGACGAGGACGAACAGCAGCAGCAGCAGCAGTAGCAGCAGCAGCAGCAGCAGGAGCTGGAGTGAAGGAGCGAGAGGAGCAGGAGCACCAGGGAAAGGCGGAGGACGGGGGGCGACAACGATGAAGAAGGACTCGAATTCAGAAAAGCGGTCCACACTGGGGCGAGAGCGCCATTCTGCACGACTGGGGCAAGACGCCGGTCCTAAAATAATGCCCACGCTGCAGTGGGAGCACCACCTCGAAACGCCGAGGACGCTCCGATTGGCAACCATAAGAGATCACAATGTACGAGAAATCCGGTGGAACAGAAAGGACGCGGAGAGGACAGACCATCTCCCGGACAGAGTCAGGGGAGAAGAGAAAGTAGTATCCACATCGGGTGAGTGTTGAACCAGTGTGAAGAAGGAATCAGGCGATGGGAATCCGAGGGGCGGAGTTGGGAGAGGGGGAGGGGGAGGAGAGGGAGAGGGGGAGGGAGAGGGGGAGGCAGAGGAATCAGAGGATGGAGGAGAGGAGGGAGGTGGGGGAGAGAGGACGACGAGGGCAGGCCCCGTCCCTTGCGGTCGAGGAGCCCCCGGGCAGGGACCTCCCGGGAGGCCGCACCAAGGCACCGGCAGCCCTGCGTCGCGGTCTCTGCACGGCGCGAGGGGGCCTCGCCCCAGGCCCCCTCCCCGAAGGAGGGGCGCGCACGCGCAGAAGGAGGAAGGCGGGGAGGGGGAGGAGGAGGAGGGGCTGATATGTTTGTTTCTTTGCCGAAGTCGACGATTGTTTCATTTGCAGTAAAGCCTTAAGCCCGTGCTTCAGGTCCGAGCAACGTAAAGAAGAAGAGGGAGTAGAGAGGAGGAGGGAATGGAGGAGGAGGAGGAGGAGGAGGACGAGGACGTAAGACGAATACGCGAAGCGCCCTCCGCGGGGCGCAGCTGCTAGCAGGCACCCCGAATGGAGGAACAAACAACTGTGAACTTTCGAAGTTCCGCGCGGATTTCTTGCATCTGCGTCGGAGCTCCCTCCCTGGCGCCCGCGCCAGGGGCGGCGCTGGAAGCGCCGCCAGGAGGGCGGAGCGCAGATGCAAGAAGCCGGCGCGGAGCTCCGACAGTTCTGCGGCCGATGCGAGAAGCAGACCTCAGGGAGACAGCGAAGAAAACCTCCGACCCGCCCTCCGACCCGCCCTCCCCCACTCCGACCCGCCCTCCCCCACTCCGAAAGGCGGCGCGAGGGGCGCCCGCCATCTGGATGAGCTCGTTCAGCCAGCGCTCCGCGCCCATGGCGTCCCCGGCCTCGCCCGCCAGGGGCGCCGCCGCCCGGACGCCATCGTCTTCGGCGCCGTCGGCGGCGGCGGGGTATCCGGCCAGGCCGTCGCTCTCTCTGGGCGTCGCCGTCGTCGTCGTGGGCGTCGGCACCGTAAGCTCTGGGCGCCGCCGCCGCTTCGAGTGTTCGGCACCCCGCGCTTCCGGCTTCGTTGCAGAAGTCGTCCTCCGCCTTAGCCTCCTCCTGCCCCGCCCCTCCAGGAGGGGCGAGGGGCGAGGGAGCATCAGCAGCAGGAGCAGCAGAAGCAGCGGCGCCGGATGGGGAGCAGGGGCCGGTGAGAGCTCGGGGACCTACTGACCCGAGTCTGTCCACACCCGCCCCCCCATTCGGCTTCGTTGCAGTAGTCGTCCTCCGCCTGAGTCTCCTCCTCCTCCCCCGCCCCTCCAGGAGGGGCGAGGGGCGAGGGAGCAGCAGCAGCAGCAGGAGCAGCAGGAGCAGCAGCGTCGGAGGGAGCTCGGGGACCTACTGACCCGGGTCAGTCCACACACGGGCCAAGCGGGCGTTGCAAGATCCTGCAACTTCCTGCAGCATCATGCACCCAAGCCCGAGTCAATGCGGCCCTGGCCCCGCAGGATCCTGCGAGGTCCAGCACTCTCGCTGACGCCTGCTTGCATTGTCGACCCCCGTCTCTTGAGCCCCGAGGAGCACTGCTGCTGGCAGTGCCGGTGCTGCTGGCCCCGCTGCTCCCCACTGCGCGCCCGCGGCCCCTGCTCCCGCTGCTCGTCCCGCGTCTGCTCTCCACCTTCTGCCCCCGCGCCGGGGGCCGAGGGGCGCCCGCTCGGCCGGGCTCCGGTGGAGCGCCCCCCGGGGAAGCGGGGAGTTCCGTCCAGCCCGCCGGTGGCACGCAGAGGAGGGGGCGGAGGAGGGGCGGAGGGCGGAGGAGGGCAGCGGGAGGGGGAGGAGGGCGGCGAGGACGACGGGGGGGAGGACGAGGAGGACGAGGCGGCAGGAGGAGAAGAGGGGGGGCAGAGAAGGGGGGGGGAGGGCAGGGGTAAGAGGGGGCGGAGGAAGGGAGGAGGAGGGTCGGGGAGGGCAGCGGGAGGGGGAGGAGGGCGGCGAAGACGACAAGGGGGAGGAAGAGGAGGACGAGGCGGCAGGAGGAGAGGAGGGGGGCGGAGGAGGGGGGGGGAGGGCAGCGGGAGGGGGAGGAGGGGGCGGAGGAGGGGCGGAGGACGGGCGGAGGAGGGCAGTGGGAGGGAAGGAGGGCGGCGAGGACGACGGGGGGGAGGGCGAGGAGGACGAGGCGGCAAATGCGGAGGAGGAGCCCGCCCTCGCCCCCGGTGGAGGCCGCGCGGAGCTCGGAGGGGCCACCCCCAAGGCGCCAGCGCGCGCGCAGGCGCCAGCGCGCGCTCCTCGACGTCTGCGCAAGGACCGACGAGGGAGCGTGTAAGCCCCCCCTTGGTCCTCCTCCTCCCCTCCCTCCTCCTCCTCCTCCTCCTCCTCCTCCTCCTCCTCATCCATGTTATTATTATTATTATGATTATTATTATTATCATTATTATTATTACTATTATTATTATTGTTAGTATTATTATTATTATTATTAGTATTATTATTATTATTATTATTATTAATACTAATATTATTATTACTATTATTATTATGATTATTATTGCTATTATTATTATGATTATCATTATTATTAGTATGATTATTATTATTATTAGTAGTAGTATTACTATTATTATTAGTGGTTTTCATTATTTTCATTATTATTACTATTATTACTACGATTATCATTACTATTATTATTACAAGTAGAATTATTATTAGTATTATTAATAGTATTATTACTATTAGTATCATTATTAGTATTAGTATTAGTATTAGTATTAGTATTAGTATTAGTATTATTCTTATAATTATGATTCGTAGTATTATTATTACGAATAGTATTATTATTGTTATTAGTAGTAGTAGTAGTAGTACGACTATTAATATTATTAGTATTATTACTGTTGTTGTTGTTATTAGTATTATGCTTATTATTATTAGTATTGTTAGTATTGCTATTATTGTTATTATTAGTTTTGTTATTAGTAGTATTGTTATTATTATTATTACTATTATTAGTGCCATTATTATTATTATAATTACTAGTATTATTATGTTCATCATTTTCCTCCTCCTCCTCCTCCTGCACCTCCTCCTCCTCCGCCTCCTCCTCAATGGTCCGTCCATCCAATCATCCTCCAATCCTCTGTCCTGCTCCTCCTCCTCCTCCTCCTCCTCCTCCTCCTCCTTTTCATCCTCGTCCTCCCCCTCCTCCTCATCCTCCTCATCGTCCTCCTCCTTTTCCTCCTCCTCAATTATCCGTCACTCAAATCATTTTCCAATATTACGTTGTGTGCCTTATCCTCCTCTTTTTTCTCTTCTTGCTTCCCACATCTAAAGTGGGGTTCTTGTTTTCTCTGGACAACCCGCGCAAGAACAGGAACCAACCATCATCATCATCATCATCATCATCATCATCATCATCATCACTCATTCCTCAATCACTCACTCACTCACTCATTCACTCAATCACTCATCATCCCTTACACACTCATTCACTCAGTCACGCAATCACTGACTCACTGACTCATCCGCACTCACATACGATGATGACGCGAGTGCGCGTGAAAGAGTGCGATCATCATCATCATCATCCTCATCATCATTAAGTCAGTCAGTCAGTCAGTCACTCACTCACTCACTCGCCTTGGGCCTCGTCTGTGAGTGAATTGCGAGGAAATCTCAGGCGGGAGCCCCCTCCCTATGGGGCCCGTGGATCACGTTACTGATCCGAGCGGGTCATCCATTTCGTCTAATTGTCGCCACTTCTGGGTTCTCGCGATGCCAGAACGCCACTCCCGGGCCACATTTTGAATGCCTGGAGCCAACTGTAGGCCACTTCGTGGCCTTCGAGTTCCCAGAACTCCATTCTTGGGCATGATTTTGAATGCCCGGAGCCAACTGTAGACCACTTCGTGGTCTTCGAATTCCCAGAACTCCGCTCCTGGGCATGATTCGAATGCCCGGAGCCAACCGTAGGCCCCTTTGTGGTCTTCGAGTTCCCAGAACTCAACTCCTGGGCATGATTTTGAATGCCCGGAGCCAACTGTAGGCCACTTCGTGCTCTTCGAGTTCCCAAAACTCCACTCCTGGGCCACATTTTGAATGCTGAAGCAGGCTGAGGCTGAGGCTGAGGCTGAGGCGGGCTGAGGCTGAGGCAGGCTGAGGCTGGGGCCGGGGCTGAAGGCAGACTGAAGCTGAGGCTGAAGCAGGCTGAAGCTGAGGCAGAGGCAGGCTGAGGCTGAGGCTGAAGCAGGCTGATGCTGAGGCAAGCTGAGGTTGAGGCTGAGGCTGAGGCTGGCTGAGGCTGAGGCAAGGCGAGGCTGAGGCCGAGGCCGAAGGCAAACTGAGGCTGATGGTGAAGCTGAGGCAGGGTGAGGCTGAGGCAGGCTGAGGCTGGGGCTGAGGCAGGCTGATGCTGAGGCAGGCTGAGGCTGAGGCTGAAGCTGATGCAAGCTGAGGTCGAGGCTGACGCAAGCCGAGGCCGACGCTGAAGGCAGACTGAGGCTGAGGCTGAAGCAGGCTGAGGCTGAGGCTGAGGCAGGCTGAGGCTGAAGCTGAGGCAGGCTGATGCTGAGGCAGGCTGAGGCCGAACATGCACAAGACGGGGGACATCCACGGCGTCTTGCCGGCCCACGTCGGCATGGAGGTGCGGTTCACGGCAGCGCAGGAAGAGTTGAAGAAGAGGTTGGGGCTCGTGCAGGAAAAACGGGCCACCATCGTGTCTTTCGAGTTTCACGCAGACGACGAGCGGGACTACGAGGAGCGCGCGCCGGGCCAGCTCTTCCGCCCCCGCTTCCTACCGCAGGGAACCTGGCTGCAGGTGCACGGCTTCAAGGAGTCTCCGATCTACCAGGAGGTCGCCGAGGTGTTGCTGCAAGGCGCCGAAGGCGCTGACGATGACTGCCAGGCCGAGGCGCGGGCGCGGAGCTTGCTGATGTCCAGGCCCAGCGACAAGGAGCTCACGTGGCAGAGCTCGGGGGCGCACAAGGTGCGCCGCTCGGGGTTCACCCTGACGCACGCGTCCTACCTGACCTCCACGCTGTCGCAGGGTCAGACGCTGCGCAAGAGCGTCACCATCGACTGCGCGACAGACGAGGACGCTGGCCGCACGGGCATGTCGGATGAGCAGTGGTGGATGCACCTCTACGTCCTGTTCTCACGCGCCACGCCCATGCAGAACATTCTGATCCTGCGGCCGCCGGCGCGGGAGTTCCTGGAGCGAGGGCCGCCGGCGTCCTTGCGGAAGGCGCCGCTGGAGTTGTCCTGACAGCCTGGCCCGCGGGGTTGTCCCAACGGCTGCGCGACGCGGCCATCAGGAAACGCGCCAATGGTGGCCGAGGCGGCGACGGCGCCGAGGAACATCGACTTGCTTGACCAGACTAGGGGGAGGGGGAGGTGCACGTAGACAACCAGAAGGAGGAAGATGAAGAGGGGGAGGGTATGGGGGAGGGCGATGATGAGGAGGAGGTGGAGAAGGAGGAGGGGGAGGTAGAAGGATGGGGAAGGGAGAAATTGAAGAAGGAGGGAAAAGAGGGCAGAGGAGAGGGCGAGAGGAGGGTGTTTGCCATGGCCAAGAGGAAAGGGAGAAGGGCACGCAAAACAGATTATCCTGCGGGGTCCTTCCGTCGGAGTAAGTATGAATAGTATGATTCGCTGTTGTCGTCGTGTTGGTTTCGTTGTCAGTAATAGTATGACTAATATCATCGCCAGTACTCGTGATATGAATTGCACGCTCCGAAGTGGCATTATTATCATTCGTCGTATTGTCATTCGCCTTATTATTATGATGATTCCCCTCGTCAGTTTTAGCCATGTGTCTGTTTGTAGTATTATTAGTGTTATTATTCGTCGTGATAGTATTACTCATATGATTTGTTTGGTTCGTGATACTCTCGTTGTTATTCCCAACCCT